AAAATGGGTGAGCCTGGAGGACATTATGCTGAGTGAAGTATCTCAGTCACAAAAGGACAAATACTGCATAGTGCCACTGTTGTAAAACAGGACTGACATCAGGGTTGGGGGCAGACTGAGAAAGATTAGTTAAATAATATATACTGCACTGAAACAGATGAGGGAGAAAACTATTTAAAAGGGATATGTGATTAGGTATTTTTGGCATGATGGGAGTCCAGAGTGAAAGTTGCATAGTGGAGTGGACCTGGGGGGGAGGGATTGTAAAACAATGAAAAGAATTTTTGTTTTATTTTTACAAGAGAGTAGTGTACCAGGGGGGAGGGTTGGGAGGGGAGAAAAGTGCAAAAATGAATGCATGGAAATCCAAAGTCTCTGTAATAAGTTTTCCTTGAAATTAATAAGAAATAAAAAATAGGCTTTGCAAATCACATATTGTCTCCAATTTGCCCAGTTTTATCATTTCCATTGCTGCTATTCAGAAACTTCATACCACTAAATGACTCTTATCTTTTCTCTTTGGAAGCTTTTAGTGTATTCTCTTTAGTCTGCTGAGTATGAGGCAAGTATGACTGACTCACAGGGACTCTATTATGAACAGCAGCTCTGAAACTTGCCTTATCTGTGACATCCTTGCCACTTCTTATATGCCTGAGTCCAATGTTTTAGTCACTGTGTCAATCCATCTCCCTGAGGGTCTTCTTCTTCTCTTTCATTGACACTTCACCTTTCAAAGCATGATGTCCTTCCTTTACCAAGTACTGTTGTTGTTGTTGTTGTGTACCACAGAGTCAGATTTGACTCACAGCTGTCCCTTTGGCAGGTTTTCAGAGGTAATCGCACAGGAGGAGATTGCCCATTTTTCTCTCATAGAGCAGCTGGTAGCCTTGAACCGTGTGCCTTCAGGATTGCAAAGCAGCTTCTTGCCATTAGGCCACCTGAGCTCCCTAGGCCCCTCCTAACAACATGCACAAAGTATGTAAGACAAAGTTTTGCCATCTTCACCTCTATCTAAGGAGCACCCTGGTTGCAACTTCTCCAAGACACAGTTGTTCGTTCATTGTTCTCTTGGCTGTCCATGGAATACTTACTATTTTATCCAATACTACAACTCAAGGCATTGATTCTTCTTTCATCCTTAGTTATGATCTACTTTCAAATGCATAGCAAGTAACTGAAAAGACTACAGCTTGGATCAGATTCACCTTTGCCTTTAAACTAACATCCTTGCTCCTTAGAACTTTGGAGAGCTTCTTACAGCAGAATTTCCTAATGCAACATGTTTTTTGATTTTTTTGACTGCTTGTACCAACAACATTGATTGTGGATCAAAGCAAGGGGAAAAAAGAGACCACTTCAATCTTTTCTCCATTTACCGTAATATTGGTTATTGGTCCAGTGTCAAGGATTTCAGTCTTCTTGATGCTGAGATACAATCTATAGTCCTTGATCTTGTCCAACAAGCATTTCAAGTCCTTTCAACTTTCAGCAATCAAGGTATCAGCTGCATCATGCAGACTGTTTACGAATCTTTCTCCAGTCCTGATGCCATATTCCTCTTCATTAAGTCCAGTTTCTCCAGTGATTTGTTCCATATATAGACTGAACCGGTATGGAAAAAGGATATCCTGATACAAACCTTTCTTGATCTTAAACCATACAGTGTTCTCTTGCTCTGTTCACACAACAGCCTCTTATTCTAGGTAGAATTTTCATATAGGCACAAGTGGGATCTGAAATTTAATTTACTACTGATGTGCACAGGTGTGGATCCTTTACTTTAGAAATGTGTTTCCTATTCTGAGGAGCATAATTACTCCCTTTCATATTCTTTCCATTTTCTCTTCATAAAATTCTTCATCTGTTGACTGGACTTCCTGAACTAGATCATTTATTTTCTTATATTGTTGTTGTTAAGTGCTGTTGAGTCGACTCAACCACCCTATGAACAAAAGACCTGAACATCTGTATGACCTTCATCGTTTCTCTAGGTTCATAAGGTTTCTGGAGGCAAGCTATTTGGAAATAGATGCCACTCCTGCTTCCAAGCTTGTTTTAATCGAGGAGCTCCATCAAACACAATCCACTATGGGTAACCATTATTGCATTTGACACATTAGTATCACAGCGACCACGAATTACCTCTGTACAGCAAGTAGACAGATCAGTGCTATACTAGCTAGAAGAATGTTTGACCAAAAACCATTAAAATCAGTATTTTAAAATTTCATCACACTCAAATGCTGGCAGACTCTGGCCCAGAGACCCCCACTACATCTGGCAAGTCCCATCTGCTGACACCCACTTGGGACCAAAGAAAGCCTTAAGAGCCCCGAGTATTCCACACTTGTCCCTTATGAGAGGCCATCCTAAGATCCTGCTTGAACCGAGATTCACAATACACTAGCCCTCAGCCTGTAGGTGTGGCCAAACATTTCAGTATTTTTAAATTCCAGCACGCCCAAATGCTGGTGGACTCTGGTGGACTACTTTAAAAAAAATCATTCAACATTTTAATCAAGCTCAGTATATAAGCCAAGTAGTAACGATAATGTAAACAATTTAAACAAATTAAGACTCATCTTTTTGTAGTGTAATATGAATGCCTAACTAAAATCAGCAGCAATAGTGATATAAATTTATTAAGGAGAAATAAAGAGCTAGGGGAAAAAAAAAGAAACAAAGGCCTAGAGACTTGCAAGAATACAAACCCTGTTTTTTATAATAAGCCTCGTAGAACTATGTTTCTTTATGTTAACATTTTTACTTAAGTAAAATATAGTAAGACAAAACTTTTTTATTTTCTTACCTGAATCACCTAGTTTGTGTGACATCTCATTTAATGTCTCTATCTCTTCTTCTTTTGGAGCATGAATGACCATAACTGTAGATCCTAAAATACTTAGCAGACACCCAATTTTCCCATGAAGATTGAGTCTTTCATTTAGGAAGTATGAAGAGAGAATAGCACTAAAATTGTTTGAAAAAAACAAAGAGGGGAGATTTGCATCAAGAAGAAATCAGCCAATTTTCTACATTTTAAACAACACAGTTTGGAATTTAAAAAACTGAACTCAAACTAGAACACTGTGAAAGTACAGAATGTGGATGTCAGCCATAGTTAGGAAAATGCACAATCACAAAACAAAAGTTTCTAGGGAATCATCTGCTTCATCAGACACAAAACTATTTATCCTAAAAAAAAAAAAATTTTTAAAAACCCCCACAACTATTTATCCTTTTTCTACTGTAAGAAGTCAATATGAAATTTAAAATGAAGAGTTATTAGTTTCTACAAATTTACATCCTAATTAAGAATTTGTACAAAAAACAATGCTTAAGTTAACTTTCATTTTTCCCTAGTGATTGATTTATCATTTTTATTTATTCACTTTATTCTAAATAGTTTGTCTATCAATTATCAACTTTTAATGTTTTATATTCCGGTTTTTCCACAGCTGAAAATGATACAGTGTAAGATTTTAAACTTATTAGCTGAAAAAGATATAGTATAAGATTTTAAGCTTATTAGCTTATTTTATATAAAATACAGAAAAAAGGTACCAAAAATACCATAAATCTTTTACATATTTATTATAATATAGTAAATATATATAAGCCTTTAAAATATATTATTATATATTTTGTTGTTGTTTGTACCATCAAGTCAGAACTGACCCATACCTGACCATCCAGCGGATTTTCAGCGGCAGTAAATAAATAGAACAGGAGGATACTGCATATATATTTATATATCCTTTATTTTAAATAGGATTAAAAATACCTATCAATTAGTTCTAGAAATGGAAACCAAAATCCAAACTTCGATTTGTGGTTAATCATTAAAACTACAAAAAGAGGATAAGTTTTAGATAGTTGCTTCCAAATGAGTCCACAAGGCCATTCCTTGAGGGTACACAACTTGATGTCCAATCAATGACTATCTGAAGTTGAAATATAAACCTATTCTTTACCAAATGCAATTTGACAAAGCAACTATGTCATATAGTAAATGTGACAAGTCAAAGTAGAACTAGTGCTGATTTTGATCACAGGCAAGGCAAAGAATAAAAACATTTTGTATCACAAACTGGTAAGACTTGTATATACAGAAGATAATGTTCTAAAAGTACATCATGTAAAAAGAATAGTTTAAAGGTAAATTATGCTGAAAACATGTGAGTAGAGAATACAGTATATTTTACAGACTAAAATATTGCCTACCATTTAGACATAAGAAGCATAATGGTCTTACCTCACTAGGACACTCAGAGCACCTAATGGCGTCACTAATGTGGCTGGTGCAAATGCATACGCAGCAAAGTTGGCCACTTCACCAGCTCCCACTTAGAGATGGATAACCAAAAAAAAAAAAAAAAAAAAACACAAAAAACCTCTCAAAAAGGAACACATGTTCAAATTACAAATGTCTAATTTTTTGGCAGTATCTATATATCATTTCAACTGTATCATAACTAATTCTTTTCACTCACCTATTTAAAAGTATATAGGTTATTCTACAAGTTATTATTGTTATTGTTGTTCATTGCTATGGAGTTAGAACTATCTCATAGCTAATCCTCCAAAAGATTTTCAAAGGCTGTAAATCACATGAGAGGCGATTCCCCATCTTTCTCCTATGGAGCAGCTAATAGATTCGAACTGTGAGCCTTCAGGTGGGCAGTACAACTTTTTACCATTAAGCCACTAGAGCTCCCTAAATTATCATTAGGAAATCATTAAAATTAATTTGTATAATGCAGATGCATAATTTTAATTTAAACAAATTTATGCTTATAGTTTTTAGGTTAAAAATTTAAGCACATTATTTGCTGGGAGCAGAGACTTCTCCCATGTGTTTTTACTGGGGTTTCTTTTCAGAAGATTCAGCTCATGAATATCTTAGGATACCTACTAAGTGTTGGGTGCTGTTCAAATACCAAGAAACACAGCAAGAGCACGATTCTCATAAATCTTACAATTTTGAAAGAAAACTCAAAAACCTATTGAGTCAATTCTCAGTGACTCTATAGGACAGAACAGAACTGCTCCATAGGGATTCCAAAGCTACAATCTTTACAGAAGGTGTTCTGATGACTTAGTAATAAAGAGTTATACTGCAAACTCAAAGGCAGGTGGTTGAAATCCCTGAGCTGCTCTGTGGGAGAAAAATAACCATTCACTTGCTGCATGATTTACAGAAAATACTGGCAGGCCAGCTAGGAGTAGGTTCTGCATCATTGGCACATAAAAACAACAATGAAGACTCTTTACAGAAGCAAATCTGCCACACCTTTCTCCCTAAGAGTAGACTGGTGGATTTGAGCACCAACTCAGGGTTAACAGCTAATTAATAACAATTGTACCACCAGGACTCCTTTTGTTAAGGAAGATACATTAAGTCTATTTGTAATATGGTTAAAGAGTACTAAGGCGGGAAGGGGGGACCAAAAAGCAAGGAAAAGAAACAGTAATATCATGTGGTTAGGTTAAGGCTTTACTCAAAGTAATTTTCAAACTGTCTAAGGTGAAATGAGAGATTTTATCATGCAACTGTGTGCGAGGGAAATAATTCAAGCAATACAAAAGGATATACAAAAAATTCTTGACTAAGAAAAGATTTAGAACAGCAAGGAAGTGGAATCTAACAGTAAGAAAAGGGGAAGGAGGCAAGTAGGTAACCAGGGTCCTATCAGACAAGCCTCTTGGAGTTGTCTTTAGAAAATTCACTTATAAGAATCTTATGAAAAGAGGACAATGCATAATGTGGTAAAAGGTTCACACTTTTCCAAAATAGTTACTCTAATTTTCACTTCTACTAGTACTATGTAAGATATCAAAGCACTCCGCTTCACACTAAATAATGCTTGATATTGACAAAGTTAATAATTTGCTAATCTTTTAGTAATCTTTCATTACATTGGCCACAAATGTTATAAAACAATTTTCCTTTATATTATT